AACTATATTTCAGTTAAATATTATCTTCAGTACAGTATTTTGGCCTTACCTGACAGTGGCTTACTCCTGGCTCACACTTAGGGACCGCTCCTTGCAGAGCTGGGAAATCATATGGAATGCCATGGATTGAACCCAGGTTGGCTGTGTGCAAAGAAAGTGAGTGCACTACTCACTGTTCTGTCACTCCAGCCCCAGCTTTCAATGTAGTTTTGTTGGATGGTTATATAGTATTCTCTTTGGCTTTCTATGGAATTTGCCCCAAAGTTAGTTGAAATGATGTAAAAAATCAGTCTTAATAATAATTTTTAACTTTTGTTAAACTCTAATCTTGTGATGTGGCCTACAGAAAATATTTTTCTTTGACTTGGATGTTTTTATATGCTCTCTGTCTTTGAAGATTTCTAGTCTTATTGGCCTGTTACAAGTTTCTCATATAGTGGGTGGCTGTTTGGTCAACATTTGTTGAATGAATTAAAGAAAAGTAACTTTGTTGTACCTAGTCTTTCTCCACGGTTGACTAGGGACGCCTTTTTCCTTGACTAGGGAAGCCTTTTTCCTTATAAGCACTTCATAAGTCAAATCAGTGTTTCTTTTTATAGAGTGCCTGGAATTGAATTGAGGTCTGCTCTATGCTAGGCAAGTACCTTAATCTCTGTTCTGTCTCTAGCCCCAATAATTTTGTTTTGGGGCTACAGCTGATTGTTGCTCAGGGACAGTTCTCTAGGTTGCTGGGAGTCGCTTTGCTGGGGATTAAACATGGGTAATCCTGTGTACAAAACTAGCATTCAGTTCTTTGGGTATCTTTCTAGCCCAGTAACACTAGTTTTGGCCAAAATACATCTTTCTTGAAATTTTATTGCACTCTTATTTATATTTTAAATTAATGATCAAAATATTGTGTTGAGATTATTAAAATGTACCTTCAGATAGCCTGAAGTATAGTTCACTAATAAGTTATTGAAAAAACAATATTGCTTATTTAAATCACTAGAATGTACTGGTATTCCTTATGATAGCTTTGCCATTTTGGTCTGTGATCTTAACTTCTGTATCTTAGGAATGTCACTACCAATTTGAAAACACATGGTCTATAATTTAAAAAAAAGAAAAAAAAGAAAAACTGGGGTATGGTGCCACCAGCAGGTTAAGTGCATCAGCAGACTGATGGTGCCTCACATTTCTAGATACCCCCAAATTGCTGCTGTGCCTTTGGCCAGTACAAGTTTACCAAGAAAGTGAACGGCCTAAAGTTAGGTATGTGGATGACACACCCACAAACCACCTCCGGCTCAGCTATATAATTGGAGTTAAGGCCTTCTGGTTCGTGATCAAATTGCTTAATGGCCATGATCGTAGAGAATCAGAAACAAATCTCGTAACCCAGCAGATTCTGGCAGAAATGCGTCTGATCCCTGCAGTAGCTTACTGGTGCCAGGCCACCCCAGGGGGGAAAGGGTGTTGTCCCTCTGCCTGCTCCCTTTTGGCGGCTCAGTGGATGCCATCCTCCAGAGGCCATTGGAAAGTCAGGTCTGGACCCACAGTGGGGCCTCACGGGATGGGGGTGCAGCCCGCCCTTTCCTCCCCTCCCAAATGAGACCCTGGGTCACTGCCCACAAACGGCCTCTCTGGCTCCTAATCAAGCTGCTATTGGCCATGACCCCAGAGACTCAGGAACAAATCTCGGAAGTCAGCAGGTTTTGGTAAAAGTCTCTCCAGATTTAATTGTTAAAATTTCGGAATTCCAAAATTGTGCAGCCACTACTCGTAGCCACGTGACATTGTATGTTATTCATAACCACAGTAGAAAATAACTTGTCTGTGGTTGCCTTTTCGGCAGATCTGAGTGTTGGGGTAAAATCCCAAATAATAATGGTGGGTCTGGTGTTAAAATATTGAATGTAATCAAAGTAGAGAGAGAGTAATGTGGAAATCATCTGCCCCACAGGTAGGAGGGGGGTGTGGGATGGGGGGCGTATACTGGGGATTTTGGTGGTGGAAAATGGGCACTGGTGAAGGGACGGGTGTTTCATCATTGTATGACCGAGACTTAGACCTGAAAGCTTTGTAACTGCTCTCACAGTGATGTAATAAATAAATTTATGAAAAAGAAACAGTTAGGTGGAGTTCATGCCCAATTCAATCAGCCTAATCAATAACTGAATAAATAGCAATACACCTACATTAAAATGAAAAAAAAAAAAGAAAACAAAACTCTTTGATTTGTTGAAAAAACATTACTTACTGGGATACAATTCTGAAGAGGAGGTTGTTTTTGCCTTGTGTTGGTTAATGTTGGATACTAGCACGAATTTAGACTAATGTTTATATTAGGCAGTTACATCTTTTAGGGCTGGAGCGATAGCACAGCAGGTAGGGCATTTGCCTTGCACGCGGCCAACCGGGTTCGATTTCTTCATCCCTCTCGGAGAGCCCGGCAAGCTACCGAAAGTATCCCACCCGCACAGCAGAGCCTGGCAAGGTCCCTGTGGCATATTTGATATGCCCAAACAGTAACAACAATTCTCACAATGAAAATGTTACTGGTGCTTGCTCGGGTGAATCGATGAACAACGGGAGGGCAGTGCTACAGTTAAATTTTTTATTAATTTTATAAGCATTCATTGCGAACTACTTTTTAAAAATTTTGTTTTGTTTTTGGACCATACCTGACAGTGCTCAGGGTTAAGTTACTTTTGGCTCTGTATTCGGGAATCACTCCTGGCAGTGCTCAGGGGACCATGTGGGATGCCGAGGACTGAACCCAGATTGGCCACTTGCAAAGCAAGTGCCTTACCCACTGTACTATCTTTTTTGGCCCTGCTACAATTTTCTTTTAACATTTTAAAGAATGCATGTAAAATAACAGCATGATATTAATAGTTCATTGCTTTATTAATCTTTCAATATAAATATAAATTGTAAAAATTTAAAAAAGATACTGAAGCTCTTAGGTTATTTAGGAGAATAAGGAGAAAATTTTCCTCCTTCTGAAAAAATTAAATTGAGTTATAGTGAGTCATTTCTTTAACACGAACCAGTGAGGAATTTTTCTGTAATAACCACCAATGAAACTATTATTACTATCAAGATTTAGGATATTTTCCATCATTTCACCCCCAGCCCCCCATCCCCAGCATCTTATTTATTTATTTATTTTTCCATCCATTTTTTTTTTTTTTTTATTCAAGGTTCCAATATGGGGCTGGAGCGATAGCACAGCGGGTAGGGCGTTTGCCTTGCACACGGACAACCTGGGCCAACCCAGGTTCTATTCCTCCGCCCCTCTCCGAGAGCCGGGCAAGCTACTGAGAGTATCTCGCCCGCACGGCAAAGCCTGGCAAGCTACCTGTGATGTATTCGATATGCCAAAACACAGTGACAACGAGTCTCACAAAGGAGCTGTTACTGGTGCCCGCTCGAGTGAGTCGATGAACAACGGGAGGACAGTGCTACAGTGCCATCCGTTTCTTTTTTATTCAAGGTTCCAGTATGGTAAACCCTGATTTGTTGGAAAATTATGAAAAGTTTAAAAACTATTAGCCAAATCTAGTAAATCTCTGAAATTCTTTGAAACTTGGATTTGGAAGGACTTTATTTTGTATTTGGGGTAAACATTTAACTTACATAAAAACACTTGGGTGTGGGTAAAACAAGCATAATGCTAATTAGGGCCTATTTTTGGAGAATAAATCAGTACATCAGTACAATCTTTAGCATATTACATGTCAGTAAATTGTAGAATATTTTTGAAATTTCTCTGAATTTTTTTTTTTTTTTTTTTTTGTGGGAGGCTGGCAGCATACGCCAGGCAGTGCTCAGTGCTTACGTTTGACTCTACGCTCAGGTATTATTCCTGGCGGGGTTTGGGGACAGTATGGGAAATCAAACCCAGGCCAGCTGTGTGCAAGGCAAGCACATGTCTAATTTACTGCCCCTGGTCCCTCTTTCCTTACTTTAATAGGGGAAATAATGCGAAGGCAATTTGAGGAGATTTTTGTATATTTGGAGATAAAAGCTTTGGAATTTTAGAATGTTTTGGCTTAATTTGTGGAATTTTCTAATTAATTGAATTCAGCTATATTTTATATATATATATATGTTTAATCCCACTTACCCTCAAAATGTGGTGGTTCATACTTTCCTCTAATACTATTGTTGAAAATACTTAAACTTTTGATAATTGAGACTTGAAGAGCATGAAATGACTTGTTTAGCAGTACCTAGTATGTAGGTCCAATTTAATTAGAAACTAGCTTGATATAGTCCACACATACTGTTCACTAATATACATTGACATTTCTTGTTTTCTTGTTATCTCGTGCATTCCCCAGAAGTCAGGGTGTGTGTGTGTGTGTTTGTGTGTGTGTGTGTGTGTTTGTGTGTGTGTGTGTGTTTGTATGTATTTTTTTGGAGGGGATACTATTACTATGTGTGTGATTTGTTTGGAATCTGTTCATTTACCCTGGACCTTCACAAAAAGCCCTGTCTCTATTACATTTCATTAAAGTAATTCCAGTGTTTTATGAATAAAACAAGGCTGTTTTAGTTTTAATAATATATGGCACAATAATTTAAATAATTTTATTTTAGCACTTTTATGTGGACTTAATTGTAAAAGCAGTGTTTGATTATTTGTGAGATTGTGGTTAAAAACATGTAGCTTTCAGGTTTAAGTCATGAAATTCTTTCAAATGTTTCAACTAATGCACCATAAACATAGGTTCTCCCCCTCTAAAAATAATGAATTGAATAAACATTTAATAGGATTTCTGGTAAAATGATATCTACATGCATGATGAGAAACATTAGTAAAGATTTGTTCAACATGTCCAAATGTATATTTTAAAGATTAGGATTTTTTCTTTTTCTTTTTTTTTTTTAACAATTCAGAAATACTTTAAAGCGTGTTCTTAGTCTCAAAACTAGTAAAATAATTTGGTTTTAGGTGATTATCAATTGATAGCTTTATTTCTTATGGTATTTTTTTTGTCTTTCTATAGGGCTGAAAGACACACAGAAGTCTTCATGGATATAGTTGATACATTTAATCATTTAATTCCTACTGAACACTTAGATGATGCCCTATTTCTAGGATCCAACCTGGAGAATGAAGTCTGTGAGGATTTTAGTACAAGTCAAAATGTCTTAGAGGACTCGCTGAAGAACATGCTCAGCGATAAGGATCCTATGCTAGGATCTGCAAGTAACCAGTTCTGTTTGCCTGTTTTGGATAGCAATGATCCCAATTTCCAGATGCCTTGTTCAACAGGTAATTCTTACTTTTTTTTTTCTTTTTTTTTTTTTTTAGTCTTCAATTTAAAATAAAATTTTCAGCAGCATATATAATTTTTTTTTTTGATGAGAGTAGTGATTTTAGGGTTCTTTCCTTTGAATTTGGTGCTTCTTTTCCAGGCATCAGAATTAGGATATAAATTTTCTTTCAAGGAGTGTGGAGTTAGCTTTGAGAATACTGTGACTTTAACTAGGGTGAACATATAACTTATTATCCAGTGTGGGACACTTTATGAGAATTTCAGAGGACGCCATGTAGATTGCATCATGATAAGGAGAATAAATTTGAAATCTCCCTAGCAAGTAGGGGGTTGCTTAACAGATTGGGTCATAAGGCCTGCTAGAGTCAAGGGAAACGGTATATTATGCTTTCTCGGTCCTTTAAATTTAATTTATTGTGCGATCCCATTTAATGTATTTTAGTATTTTGTATCTCAAAATTGGAGAACACACTCCAGACTTTTATATAGTCCGGTGTGGTAACCACTGGCCACATATACTTAACGCTTATTTGAGACGACTCTGTCCCTTAACCAGTGTGCTATAAAAGTGCACGTTAGACTTATTATGAAAAATCATGTCTATCATCAGATTTTAAATTTAGATGGTATGTTTGAAAGGGATATTTTAGATATTTGTTAAAATACATTATTAAAATTAATTTTGCCTGCTTTTTGGGGAAGTAGGTATGTAATAATTTTAAAGAACAACAAATACATGTGGCTTATGTTATATTTTTATTGAACAACACTGCTCTCGGCTCTATTGTTGAAATAACTGAAAGATTGAAAATAACTTTCTGTAGTACTGAACTAATTCTGACCAGATTTCTTAACATATATGTTAATATGTGGAGTATACATAGGTTTTCTTTACAAAGCAAGGAGTAGTTCAGAGGTAAAGAAAGTCAGTTTCACATGGAGAAGTAAGGATTCCCTTCACTGTTCCCTAGAGTAGAGCACAGGTTTATGTGTTGTTGGTCTATTTCTCAGTGACTGAATTTCTACTGTACTACGGTTTTGAATATATTTTAATGTCTCCTGTATTATATTCTGATATTTTAATACTGAAGTTTGGACAAGGTGATCTCTTTCTCATTTGTAAGTTGTCTGCCCAAAGACTTCAACACTTTGACTTCTAGGAATCTTCATTTTAAGAGCTCCTAAGTTCTGAATTGATTTTGAATTGATTTCTATTGGTATATCCCTGAATTATATACATTGCATTGTGTTATCACAGAGTTTTACATTGTTTTTGTTGTTGTATTCGAAATGTCTCAAAACTTAAAAAAAATGTTTTATGTATGCACTGTTCAAGTTTTTTTTTTTTTTTTTGCATTGGTCCCTGTATTAGTATAGTATACCTAATTATTGTCAGAACACATGACAGTAGTTGCAGTTTCAGTTTAAATTCAGGAAACAATTAGTATCCACAAGGTGCTTATTGCTGGAAATACAGTTACCCTTGTGGATGTTATAAGGGGCCTGGTATTGGCAAATACATCATCTTCTTAGACTTCCTACTAGTTTCCGGTCCTTTAATAATACCAATATTTCTTCTTGCTATTTTTTTTTTTAAAAAACACTAGGTTCTCGGTATAAAATACTTTTATTGATATAATTTTTTTCTATTTTGCTATTTGAAGACTTAGAACATCTTTATCAAAGTGATTAATTTTTTAGATATGATTGTTACTCATTCTGTTTTTAAAGTTTTAACATTTAAGACTTAGAATGATATTCTAAATTTTATATTTGTTGCAATGGTTATTTAAGTTCTGTTTATATCAATATATGTGTTCTGTGCACTTTTTAAAGATAGGTAAAGTGATATGTGGGGAAATTAAAATAATAGTACTCCCTTGTCTGGAATTGTTTTCAATTTCATTGTCATCAGGCAGAGGTATTTGTATTATTTTCAAGTTTCTTTTTCCCTTTGGGATATTTAGTTCAGTCTGTGTATTTTCTGATAATACAAAACACCACATTTAAAAAATACTATTTTTAAATAATTTAGATTTAAGAGAGTTACAAAGAAGAAACGTAATTGTAAACTGGCCATGGCTCTTAGAACCTAGGTGTTTATACTATTCTGTAGATTTTTGCTACTTTTTTGGACTGAAGGTGAGTAGGGAAATGACTGTGTCAAGTATTCTCGGACCAGTTCTGCAAACTTTTCATGAAAGCTTTACATTTAGGTTATTTTGTGGTTTGGTTTTTTGACATTGTTCAAATTCAGGAGGCAAAGTAACTGCCCTTGTCGTGTTTTTACTATGCTAAACATAGTTGATGTCTGTACTTCATAAGACTAGTTGTTTTTGTTGACATAGTTGAGTGACGTGGCATTATATTTCAGTTTTCTCCAAAAAGAGTAATTAAAAAAATTGCAAAACAGGAGAAAACATGTAGATTTCAGTGTTCTATCAAATGAACAAAAGTAGGATGCTAATCATTTCATTTTAAGAAATAAACACTAGATTTCTGATCCTCTTTTGAGTACTTGCAGTTCCATTTTGTAATGCAACTGCATTGTTTGCATATGGTTTTTAAAAAAATTGTTTTGACTTTTTAGAAATTGAGGTCTTATGATACACAATAATTTTGGTGGATTTGCACATGTTTTTAGATTTTCACAGTAATACTTTTTTTTTAACTCCAGCAACTGAGGAAAATTATTATTAGGAAAATGTTTGATTTTGATGATTTATCTAACTACCGCTTTTAGAAAACTTTGTAATTTTAAAATAATATTTTCCCAACTGATAGTTTCAACATAACAACACTTGGAGAACATTGAAATAGTGTTTCAATATTCAAATAGTGTTTGCAGAAGAGTCATTGAACAAGTGTTTGAAAAGCTGACAGTCATTAAGAAATGTTTACTTTGTCTCTAATTTTACAAACAAATGTTTCCTTTTCTACATAGACAACTGTGATTCCTAAGTATGAAACACATCTTGTATTTACAACTGTGTCTTTATAAGTTACACTGAAATATACAGTGACTGTAATATGATTTATGTCCTTAAAACCAAGATGACAGACACTGTATAAAAGTCTGTTCTTAAATTGTAAGAACTCATTTCATCCATTCAGATAGTAATTGTAACTACTATGGTCTTCAGTTAAACTAGCATGAACTTTCTAGACTTTATTGTGGCTTGCAGTGTATTTTTTTTAACAACAAAAAAAAATCTCTGTAGTATATTTACTGGGAGTTGATTCATATTATGTGCTTGTGTTAATTCAAATGTAAAGTCAGATTTTTCTTGACAAGCGTATGTGTTACTTGTGAATGACATTGATAATATGACACCAAGCAGTGTTATTTAATAAGAATTGTAACCTGTGTTCCCATATGAACAAAGTATTGTCTAAGACTAGTTTTATAAGCTTCTTGGCAATAATAAGCTTTAGTCTTTTTTTTGGAATAGTGGGGGGAGGGCATACTTAAATTTTCTTCTGTCTTGTGTTTGGGGGCTTTATCATCAGCTTGTAGAATTCATCTGTGTAATGTTGGAAAAGAATTTCATTGTTATTTGTTCTGATAACTGGTGTCCTAGTGTATCATTGAGATTGTTGAAAAAAAAAATCATAAGTTTGGGGCCAGAGCAGTAGTAGAGTGGGTAGGGCACTTGCCTTGCATGGGGCCAACTTGGGTCCATTCCTTGGCACCCAGAGTTCCCACTGAGTCTGCCAGGAGTGATCCCTGAGTACAGAACCAGGAGTAAGCCCTGAACACTGCCCCTCCACCCAACCACCCCCACACACACCTCTACAAAGTCGTTTTTAGGACTTTGTACTTTTGGATAACAATTCTAATTATTCAGTCCATTGAAAGAACACAGTGGTCTTTCAATAAATTCAGCTTCCAGATACTTAGGAGTCTTCATATTTATGCTCCATTTGTGGGATTAGTGAACTTTCTGTGCATTAATTCCATACCTGCATCTGTATCTAGCTATACACATACATCTATTAGTTATTTGCTTTGGTGGGTTTCTTTCTTTTTTTGAATTCTTATGGGTCATACTTGTTTCTTTTTTTTTTCTTTTTGGGTCACACCTGGTGTTGCACAGGTGTTACTCCTGGCTCATGCATTCAGGAATTACTCCTGGTGGTGTTCAGGCACCATATGGGATGCTGGGAATTGAACCCGGGTTAGCCGCGTGCAAGGTAAACACCCTACCCGCTGTGCTATTGCTCTAGCCCCTTACTTGTTTCTTTAACATCTGTGCTTCAGTGAACTTTTGACATTATTGATCTTGTTATTGAGAACTGCATTTGAATAAGAGTATACAAATTTAATATGTAAATTAGTTCTGCATATGAGAAATGTTGGTTGGGGCAAAGTGTAAATTGAATATTACAAAAAAATAATAGTCTTGTAAGAAAATTATGTGGCCTTTAAGAATAAAGCATAATTTTTGTAAGGTTGATGATGATTGTTTCTAGTTGTACTCGGTGGGGGTGTTGGTGAATTTTGTTTAGAAAACAGGAGAGACATCCTGTGTGAAGTTAAAGATATAATAGAAGAGTAGGCCATCAGAATAGCGTGAGATGCTTGGAAACTTGTTAATTGGCAAAGGATTTGACTTCTTTATTACTAATGGAGGCAGGATTTGGTTGATGGCTTAGAGATAGATTGTGAAAAATGTTGGGCTCCCTAAGAATAGAATAATATGTTTTCATTGGGGAAATAGGAATTACACAGTTGATGGATATGAGCCTCTTGACAATTTATTGAGATTCACGCACCAGACATTTATTTTTTTTAAATACAAAATAAGATATTTATTGGAAAATGAATGTAATATTTTTGGTTTTTTTTTTTTTATTAGTGAAGCACCATGAGGTACAGTTATAGACTTACAAATTTTGTGCTTGGGTTTCAGTTATACAATGATCAAGTACCCATCCCTCCACCAGTGCCCATCCTCCACCGCCACGGGTCCCAGCATCCCCCCCACCCCCCTTC